TGATTTATTTCTGAGTTTGGCATTTTAGGGTGACTGCATGCAAAATAGTTGGTTTCAATATCATCTAAGAAATTCCCCGGTAATATTCAGTCGTACTCTCTAAAATAGTCCTGAAAATTTTATTCGAAAAGTTAATTTTTGTTTTATTCAAATAATTGTCAAATCATGGATATTCGTCTTGAAAAACGTGGAATTTTCTAATCATTACAAAGATTTAGTAATGATTTCTGAGCCGTCAAAATTGTTGCACGAAATTTCGCTAGATCTATTAATTATTACCTGGAGATTTCCAAATCTAGTATCGACCACTAGATTTTCATGCAAACAAACCTTGTCCCCTATTTTACAAACATCGTGATTGCCCGAATATTTCAAAATCTAGTATCGGCCACTAGAATTTCATGCACGAGATTTTATCTCCCTATTTGCCGGCAAAGTCAATTCAGAACTTTCTTTTCATGTCTTCCAAATTGCCGACATCATAATTATTCTAACCAATCACATTCTCTTGAATTTAGCACCACATCAAAAGTCTCGTCCAAGTGACAACCTAGTCATGTCGCATTTTCTCGGCCAACCAAATTTCATGCATTGCTGCCCCAAAATCTTAGCTTTGGTATTTTGTGCCGATTTTGGGATTTGTGATATCCAAACCGTGTGCATGCAGCCTAGGGTATTCCATGCATTTTGCTTGCTGAAATTGCACTAGCTTTGCTTGCAAGTTTGCCTAAAAAATTTTACTATTCATGCACAAAAAACTGTGACACTTTTCTTGCACCATTACACCAATTTCACTTCAATTTTGAAACAAAAGCATGTGCAGTTTTTAAATTTTGGAGCCTTGCCAAATAAGCCAACCGTGAGGTACTTAGTACCATTTAATCACTCAAAGCCTAGAACCTTCATACAAATTGCTGAACTTTCCCATTCACTCATTTTACAACTCCAAAAACCGAAAACTCTCTCTTTTCTCTCTATCTTTTCTCACACTTCTCACTCATTTTAAGTCCGATGTGACTTCTATTATATCTGTGCAACAGCCCGAATGGCTGGATGATATGAGTTGAGGAAACAATCACAAGAAAACTAAAAATGATATTCATGCATCATATATAATCTTGTGAAATGACTTGATGGCATTACAGAGGCACAGCTATAGGTATTGGAAGTTCGGTCCAAAGTAGATCTTCTGGGGATGGCCAAAGGGGGAATACCCGACCTAAGTGGCACATGGCAGCTGAGCTCCCTGTAGCCGGGTCGTGACCCGCTTGCAAGACCTTAGCCAAACCTGACGTGAACTCCATAATACTAGGGTCGTAGAGGTCCATTCTTAAACGTGTCGTATGGCCTTTCACATCAATGATGTGCTATTATTATTTTTCTATTTATTATATCTGTGCAGAGTAGGGAATGGAGTCCTCCGATCGCCACACGACTTGAATTTATCTATCTATCTCTATTGTAAATGCTGGGCAAGTCGCCAATCATAGAGAAATGGGATCCCCATGCATCATTTGCATGCTAATAACACATGAGTGATTATATGAGAGAGGTGGAAACTTGCATTTATGCATCATATGCATTATTATTAGGGATGGTTGAATGCTTGTGAAATTGACTATAATTGTGATTACATTTATTTCCCTATTATATGCTTGAACTTTGTATGATGCTGAGTGAGAATGGTTGAATGGATTTGTGACTGATGCCGCCTTCCTTAGGGTTTGGCTATGATTGTTGTTTGTGTTTGGAGAACTCACCCCTGTGTTTGTGTTGTTCGTATCACTTTTCTTTTACTTATATAGATGAACAGGAACAAAGTGAAGGTGTAGATCCTTCCTTCCGAGGATGATACGTGGGTGTTTGACTCTGCGGCCCAGCAAAGCGTTTTTTGCGAATTTGCCTGAGTGATTCATGGAGTCGATAGTGGAGGCTCATGTATTACCCAGTATACTGCCGACACACCTATTGAGATTGTCTTCTCTGTACCTCCTGGTGACACTCAGTTACCTTACCCCGCCTTGTTTGCTTCTCCCACACCCATGTTTGTAGATCCCCGTACACCTACTACCAGATCTACTCCTGCACCTGCACCATTCTCTTTTATGTCCCCCACTTATCCACCTATGCCAATGGAGAGGGGTATCCATATGGTGGAATCCTCTATTAGGTATACCACCATACCCTCTTACATGCATCCCGCACACCCGTCTACTTTGGTCCCACCTGTTGCTACCCGTTCATCCCCACACCCTGTTGGATGGATAGAGGAGAGTAGTGGAGATCATGGCACAGCTGCTGCTTCTAGTTCCACTTTCCCGACATCATCTGAGGAGTCTGACCCTATTGAGGATTATTCGCCTCTTGATTGATGTTGTTCTTAATTATGTTGTAGTGGAACTGCTCTTAGGGAGTTTGGTTTGTTTCTAGTTTATTTATGTTGCATTTGGATTTCCATGACCGTGCTGTTAAACTATGAACCTATCGTTTCCGCAAACTTATATTAACATATTTGAAGTATTTCTGATGATGAGTTGTGATGAGTATATTATTGAAATTGAATTAAGGAGTGATGAGAAGAGAAACATATATGCATGTTAACTCTCACTACTTGAAAGAGAACTACTATTGCAAACTGTATGTGTCTAAAGAAAAAAAAATATTCCAGATTTTGGTGTTTTCTGAATTATCATGTTATAAAGTACTATCAATAAATGTAGTGAATTCGGGTCGCTACACTTTGGGCCCAAATTCCGATTTGGGTCACGCCTGACTCATCTTTTGCTTAGCCGCTAAGGAACGCGTGAAAAACTCATCTCGGGCCACTGAAACACCCTGGAAGTGACTGCTAGGACTAATAGGAAGAGTTCCCTGTCTCTTTCTCGCCACCTGGCGCCTTTGGCCCAAATTCCAATTTGAGCTTCGCCTGGGTCCTCTTTTGCTTAGTCACTAAGGAACGCGTGTAAAACTCATGTCGGGCCACTGAAACACCCTAGAAGTGACTGCTAGGACTCATAGGAAGAGTTCCCTGTCTCTCTCCCGCCTCCTGACGCCTTTGGGCCCAAATTACAAGTTGGGTCTTGCTTGGGTCTTCTTCTGCTTAGTCGCTAAGGAATGCGTGCAAAACACATCTCGGGCCACTGAAATACCCTGGAAGTGACTGCTAGAACTAATAGGAAGAGTTCCCTGTCTCTCTGTCACCTCCTGGCGCCTTTGGGCCCAAATTCCAATTTGGGTCTCGCCTGAGTCCTCTTTTGGTTAGTCGCTAAGGAACTTGTGCAAAACTCATCTTAGGCCACTGAAACACCCTGGAAGTGACTGCTAGGACTAATAGGAAGAGTTCCTTGTCTCTCTCTCGCTTCCTGGCGCCTTTGGGCCCAAATTCCAATTTGGGTCTTGCTTGGGTCCTCTTTTGCTTAGTCGCTAAGGAATGCGTGTAAAACACATCTCGGGCCACTGAAACACCCTGGAAGTGACTGCTAGGACTAATAGGAAGATTTCCCTGTCTCTCTCTCGCCTCTTAGCGCCTTTGGGCTCATATTCCACTTTGGGTCTTGCTTGGGTCCTCTTTTGCTTAGTCGCTAAGAACGCGTGCAAAACTCATCTCAGGCCACTGAAACACCCTGAAAGTGACTGCTATGGCTAATAGGAAGAGTTCAGTATCTCTCTCTCGCCTCCTGGCGCCTTTGGTATAATTACATTAAAATGACAAGTAAAAAACTAATAAAATGTGGACTTATCACATTACCAATCATAACCTTTTCTTTATATGACATAAAAATTAGAGATTTAGAGAAAGAGGACACCTAGTTTGAAATATCCTTATCACAAGTCGTTCCTTGCACAAATAGATCCACCATATCAATGGTGTTTTTTGCATTCATCTTTACTTTTTTTGTGCATCTAACCATCAAATCCATTTTTTCTTTGGATTGCATCTCCTCTTCTGACAAATCCATGATTTCAACCTTCCCTCTATCTTTAGGGATCATCCACAGATGAAGCCTATTCGCAGCCTCTTTGTGACCATTCGATCAGCTTGCCCAAAGCGTGGCGGTACAAGCACTCAGAGAAATAAAACCTAGGGTTGAGAAACCCTAGAAAAAATGAGAAGGTGCCTCTTCTTGATAGCAAGAAATGTTTTCTTAGGGCTATCAATTCATAATAGATCTAATTGTATTTTAAGTTTCAAATACTAAAACTATAAAATAATAAATTTCAGAAAATAAAAAAATTTAAAAATGTCATATCGCGTTGACTAGAAGAATTATTATGTATACATAAATAAATATGATTATCTAAATATGTTTAATAGCAAAATTAACAAACATATATCTTAACACTACGTTTTACTTATACATATTTTGGATAAGTTAGATGAAAAAATGATGAATTTATCATTAATTAAATTTTACTGAACGAATCCATAAACACCGCTAATAATATAAATATTGAATGATTCGACTATAATTTTATATCGGCATAGAATTAATCTCTTTCACAAAACCGTTTTAAAATAGTATCAGAAAAAGAAAAAGCTGTCTCCTTATTGTTTCCGAAATATTGTCTTTTTCTCATTGTCTTCTAATTAAATAAATGAATTGCATACTTGAAGTTGTAAAAGCAGAATGGATACTCACCGTTACTCTTCTGGTCGATGTATTTCTTTGACTAATCACTGCTTTGAAATTCAAAACTGTTGATCCTGTGTTGCATAAATTCTTATCGTATCAATTTCAAGTCTTCCACGTATACCCCAACACTCTTATCTCTTCCTTACTCCTTACATATAAAAGCCAATACTTAAAGTAACGCACGCCTTTATTTTGTTTAAACAGTCCTTGTTTCTTTCTTTAGTTGCACAATCTTGTGAGTCTCTTTTGGTCCCTATTAGAGCTCATAATCAATCAATTCATAGACTCTCATCCAGGCCCTCGACTAACACCTTCTGTTAAACACCAATTTCTCTAGTCTTGCAAATTTTAAAAAATTACGTAGACATGGCCGAAGTCAAAGTTTATGAACGAACGCTTGAGGAAACACCAACCTGGGCTGTTGCAGTTGTGTGTTTTGTGCTGCTTGCTATTTCGATCATCATAGAACATATTATCCACGCTGCTGGAAAGGTAAGCTAGGAAGGGTTCATCCTACCCAGAAGGGACTTAAAGAATTCGCTTATTAGTGGTGGCCGGTAACGATAAGTAGAGTTCTTGTACAAATAACCATCATATAACCGTGTCATATAAAATAATCACCGTATTAAATATTCTATTTTGTGTTTCAGTGTTTCTAATATCCATTATTATATAAATGTTTTGTTGAAACTTGACTCTTGCGGTGTGTAATTTGCTACTACTTATTGCAGTGGTTCAAAAAGAAACACAAAAATGCCCTTTTTGAAGCGTTGGAAAAGGTCAAAGGAGGTATATGTGCTCTGCTTTAATTAATTCATGGTTGATTTCTTCTATTTGTTGGTGCTAAATTTACATGTTTTGTGTTTGGAAGCTAAACAATTCCTTTGACGTTCTGTTCAGAGCTTATGCTGCTAGGATTCATATCCTTGCTCCTAACAGTGTTCCAAGATCCAATTTCTAAGATCTGCATATCAAAAAATGTTGCATCCACATGGCATCCTTGTGCCAATCCAAAGACAAGTACATCTGAGGCTAAATCTGATACTGATTCTGAAACCAATACTAGGAAACTCCTCGAATATTCGGAACCCATGGCACGGCGTGTTCTAGCTACAAAAGGATATGACAAATGCGCTGAAAAGGCAAGTTGTTACTTCCAAGTTGCATTAAACCCTGCGTATAGTTCTTCAAATGTTTGTTATATTTAATGTTGTTGTGCGTTGTTGAGGTAAAATTCTAATTTCAATTATAATATTACACTAAAGATATTTAAAAGAACTACTTTTAATGTTTGTTATCAACAAAAAAAGAAGATTTTCTGTGTCAATATGAATGTATACCACATTTTTGTGAAAATATTGGTAATAAGGAAGCAGAGATGAATGCAAAGGTAGTTGTAAATAATTTTGAAGGGTGATTTTGCATATGCAGGGAAAATTTGCTTTTGTTTCCGCGTACGGGATTCACCAGCTTCATATATTCATCTTTGTGCTAGCTGTTTTTCATGTACTACAATGCATCATTACATTAGCTATGGGAAGAACTAAGGTACTCGCCTCCTTTATCTTCTCAAATATGGTCCCAAGTCTTTATTCTCGGAACTTACGTAAGGGACTATATTATGTTAGTCTCTGTCTAAATCCGGTGTTTGCTTTAATGGACTCAGATGAGGCTTTGGAAGACTTGGGAAGATGAAACAAAGACCATTGAATATCAATTCTATAATGGTAATAAGACCTCAATTTTTTGTCGACAATAGTTATTAAACGATTTTCTATTGTGCACTCTGAGTTTACTGAACTAGACAAAATTTTATTCGTAATTTTGGTTTAACGGTATCAAAATGGGAAGATAGAAAAATATTTAAAATATAATTAATTTTTTATTTTGTTTATTTTTCTTTAATTAAATAAAATATTACGTTATTATCCATATTTTTTACTTTTTATATTCAATTTTGTTTTCTCTCATCCAACGTGTCACAAAATAAAATATTAAAAATTGGGTTGACAGCGTAGTGACTGACTTTAGTATACGTTCAATAATAAGACTTCTAACAAATTGATAACGACATTCTTATCTTTTATTGCAAACTATTATAACTTATGCTGATCAACTTATAATTGCGTGCAGATAGAATTTTTGAAATGTATCAATATTTAAAACAAGGATTAAAAGTTTAACAGAATATAGTTCCATAAGATAAATGTAACTCGGTATCTATGGAAAAGTGTAACGTATAAAATCGTATCATTTTTTCATGGTTCCATATATGCTTCAGGGTATATTATATGCACCGTGTTTTTTAATTTTTTGCCCATTTACATGTGCCATGCATTTCTCTTACAGTGCCTTTTGTAAACACATGTTGCAGATCCCGAGAGGTTCAGGTTTGCAAGAGACACCACATTTGGACGAAGGCACATGTACACTTGGTGGAGTCGGTCATCAATTTCCTTATGGATAGTAAGAACGAGAACACATTTATTAAACAAGAACAAGAAAGATATGATAAATATATATCTTAAAATGGCCATTAGCTAAATTTTGGATTTTAAAGTTATAATTTTATTTTTTAACTCTAAAAAATTTTGATTTTTTTTTTGTTTTTTAATTTTCTTAAATGAGTCTTTCATTATAATCTTATTTTTTGTTCCTATAAACATTATGATTTATTTAATTTCTTGTAATATTTAAAAAAATTGAATGAAAATATTATAATATTTAAAGAGATTAAATAAAAACAAAAATTTTAAGACGGTTATTTGATAAAAAGAAAAAGATAAAGAAGAATGTTAGAAATGAGAACTACAAAAAATCATGTGAATTTTACTGTTTCTCATTATTAATTTATATTTTCTCTCATATTAATATAGTTTTCAGTTAATTTACCTAATAGTTAAAATTATGTTAGAAGGTGTATTATTAGTATTTTTAAACAATATATTATAGAAATTGTTTTTGAAAAACATGCACTTAAAAATAAGTAAGTAAAGAAACCTTGAAGTTTAAAGGAGGAAAATCTTAATTAATCTATTTTTTGCAATGATTATTTGATTGTTAGAGAGACGTAAATTTGTTTATAAGTTTCTAATTCCATTGTTTTGTACTATATATGCTCCAATCAGGTTAGTTTCTTCAGACAATTCTTTGGATCTGCCAATAAAGTTGACTATTTGACATTGAGGCACGGATTCATTACGGTGAGACGTATTTTCCTTCTTTGATAGTCTTGACACTATTTTGCTAAAAGGGCATCCCCAAACGTAGAACTAAGATATGTGATTTCAGGCGCATCTGGCACCGGGAAGTGGCGCCAGATTTGATTTTCAGAAGTATATTGAAAGATCACTTGAGGAAGATTTTAAAGTTGTGGTGGGAATCAGGTATGATTTTCATCTATTGCTTTCTTTTCACTGTGTTACGTACGCGTCATTTTACGTTCAACCGGTTTTTAACATGCAGTCCAATCATATGGTTCTTTGCGGTGCTATTCCTGCTGACTAATACTCACGGTAAGCCACATTCAACTCTTTTCAAACTAATTTCAGTAGAATAAAATTTTAGTTAATTCAGTCTACGAAATTGACAATATCAATTTATTTGGTCCCTTATATTATATTATAAAGAGGGGAAATTTAATCATTAACTTTGACAACCGTTATATAATTTATTCCCTTAAATTGATGACACCAGTTAATCTGATCCGCAACATTACAAAAAACAACAATTTGGTCTTGAGTATATCAACCAATAGTTAATTTGATCCTTCATAAATCAGTGAATTGGTTGATGCAGACTAACAATATTAAGGACCACGATGACCAATAATTCCAAAGTTAGGGACTATTGCAAAAGTAAAACAGAAAGTTTGATCATGAGTTATGCCTTTAATGCATATTTTAGTGTCATCAAAGAATTTTGTGTGTAATCTAAGACAATTTTATATACAGTATGTTGTTTTACATAAGTTAAACATACGTTGTCCTACTTCCTATCTTGCTCTTGTTTTACTTCACAATCAATATTGTGCATCTAATTAGGCTAAAAAGGATAACTTCTTAAGCTCCTTTCAGTACCACCAACTCTTAATGATTTTGGTCTATCCGGACAGGGTGGCATTCTTATTATTGGCTTCCATTCATCCCATTAATTGTAAGCACAGACTACTCATTCTGTTTATGTTGCCTGTCTATATTTCCTTTCTTGTTGTAAAGGTTTAACTTAACTGTAAGATTTAATGTAAATTTTACAGATAATCTTATTAGTGGGTGCTAAACTACAAATGATAATAACAAAGATGGGACTGAGGATTCAAGACAGAGGGGAAGTGGTAAAGGGTACACCTGTAGTTGAGCCAAGAGATGAACTGTTTTGGTTCAACCGCCCAGGTCTCCTCCTCTTTCTGATTCATCTTGTTCTGTTCCAGGTAATTTGACTATTTCTTTTCCTTAAATTATGTCATCTAAGTAATTCAAGTTTTCTGAAAATAATTATGTTTGCTTCAATATGTTACAGAATGCTTTCCAACTGGCATTCTTTTCTTGGAGTACAGTAAGTTTATCCAATATTTTTTATCTTCCATATACAATCATTCTGTAGTGTTTAACGAAATAATGCAAAGCTGCAATATTTTTTTTTTAATATCTCATAATTAATGTTTCAGTATGAATTCTCCATAAACTCTTGCTTCCACAAAAGGACTGTAGATACTGTCATAAGACTTGTAATGGGGTAAGTTATGAATCCTTATTTTGGAGTTTAGAAACTACATATGTAACCAATATGAATTGGAAATTTTAATTTTCAGGGTTGTCATACAAGTTCTATGCAGCTATGTGACTTTGCCTCTTTATGCTCTAGTTACACAGGTCACATGCTGGAAAATCCAAGCATTTTGGTTTTGGTTTTGCTATACTATATAATCACCCACTTACTTCAATATGTTTTGGCCGACATTACAGATGGGTTCAACCATGAAACCAACCATTTTCAATCAAAGAGTAGCAACAGCACTGAAGAACTGGCACCACACTGCCAAGAAGCATGTCAAAGATAGTAAGCATACCACACCATTCTCAAGCAGAACATCAACCCCAACATACGGCATGTCTCCAATTCACCTGCTACACAAACACTCTGCTGGCAGAAATGATAGTGCACACACTTCTCCAAGGACATCCAACTACGAATATGAGCAATTGGATGTTGAAGGCTCGCCTTCGCCAAGCAACCATGCAGTAGCAGATGAAACCCAAATGCAAGTTCCTGAACCAGGCTTAGCAACAGAATTACCCATTAGCTCTCAACTTGAAATCTGCATTAGTTCATCAGAATTCTCGTTTGAGAAGAGACAAACTAGCAGAGATTAGATTTGTGGATAATGTTTTTAGCTGAATATCAAATAAGAATTGTAAAGAAATGAAAACAGAATTAAATTCAAGGAACATAGTAGAGTAACCTAAAACACTTGAAATAACAATGAAAGATTGGTTAGGGTTCAGAATTTAGTAAGAGTCCCACTCATGTATAAAAATGAGTTTCTAATTCAAGTTTAAAATAATATTGCATGAAGAATAAGAATTACAATAATCTTTTACTCATCTCTCACCAATCTCTACGTCTAGTTAATTAATTAAGAGAAGTCAATGCAATTTACTTAAGATTTGAGTGCTCTAATCAACATGTCCATAGTGAAAAAAACACTCTAAGATCATATAGTTAAATGGCCAATGAAATTGAAGCATAAAGTGTTGAAGGATAACTATTCAATTTATCAAGAATCACATGAATTATATTGAGAAATTCATATTATATTAATTTTAAATCCTACGTATATTGTACCCTAAATTTAGAAATTTAGAAACACGTTTACAAATATTTTAATAAAAATGAAAAAATAAACATAGTAGAATTTCGTCTTTCAAAGATCTAAGATCATAACTAAATTTGAGAATAAAAAACAAAAAAAAAATCTTAAGTCAAAATTTATAAATTTAAAAAAAATAAAAAGTATATCGAAAATGAGTCCTATGACATTTATTTATAGCATGTGTTTGACAATTTCACTAAATAGATGTTCTTTCACTCGGATTCACGTGGAAGAACAAGCTTTTGAGGGACATCATCGTGGAAAGAGAGAGAGGAGATGAAAAGAAAATAAAAAGAAGGTTGAGTCTACATTTTTTCATCTACTCCACAAATAGACTTTACCATCACAATATCACAAATATAAAAAAACAACTCAAAAATTCAAACTCACATTGCACATTTAATGCAACGAATGAATTCACTTGCAGTTTTTCTTCATTAAATTAAGTCTTATGCCATGCATGTGAGCCCAAATATGTGAATACCTCATGTATTGTGTCACCGTCATTCGTTCAAAGCAATCAAAAGACTCCATTCTCCCTTGGTATAAGAAGATAGTCAAATCATCATGATTGATGCCACACTCAGTCAAATAAAAAGTAATTTAAATCCAGTAAACTAAGAAACAAATCTAGGTCATTTTCTTGAGGACCTCAGTTACAAATGCTAAAAACGATACGCAAAACAAATTTGGTTTTGAAATCAATCTCAACCATGGGATGCTCTTAATTAAGTAACTATTTCCCCTTATTTTTATAAATAAATTTCAATAAAATTATGTTGAAATAAGTAAAGACTATAAATAAATTAGCAAAAATTTATAATTACATAAATCTTAAAATGATAGAAATTAACAAAATTTTAAAACTTCATATATAAGTTTCATCTATCACACAATTGCAAGAAAAATCACATTGATTTCATTCATAATTGAGATGAAAATTTATCTTTTTAATTTAAATTTCAAATTAAAGTAAAAACTAAAATTAAAGTTAAACAATCATCTTACTTAATGTTATATATATACTACTTAAAAATATAAACAAAATTGCTTTCTAGCAAATTAAATTTCCAACTAAAGTCAAATTTAGATTTACAGGTAGAATAATTAACCTACTAATCATTAACCACCTACAAATACATCTTGATTCATTATTTATAATAAAATTTATTAGCAATTTATAAATTCTAAAGTTGACATTAAAATATTTACATATCAATATTAATTTTAATTAGAACTCAACAAAAATTATTACAACCTCAGCATAATTTAAGTCCTAACAGAGCAAATCCTTCCTTACAATACAACTGAAGATATGGTTCTAGAACGAATCAATGTTCATTGAATACACTAATCTCATTTACTTCCTCTGTTTCTTCATTTTCATTTCGTGAAAATAATTGTAAGAGTGAGCATTCTCTACTCCACTAATAACAATTACTGAGTCATTATTATTTATGGACAAGTGTACCTGTCGAAAAGTAATAGAGTTCTAAAAATAAGTTTCTGAATTATCGTCCCACTAAAATTGTTTACAATTACTAAAAATTTATTAATTTAATTTTTTAACTTAAAGGATATAAAATTAAATAAAACAAGAATTCAAATATGAAAGTGATTAAAATAAAACTAAAAATAGTGCAACCTCTAACAATAAACTAATCAAGAAGAACTAGGGCGTATGGTTTCATCCTTACAATTCTTTATGTTCTCTTTTAGATTAATTCTAATTTTAGTTTTCCTATGATTGTCAATCACTCATACTAAAACTATTAACACCCAATAGTCATGCAATATTAATAATCTTTTCCCAAAACTATTACTCCTAATGGTCATGTAAGGTAAATGGAAGAGAAAGCATAAAGAGCCCATGAGCTGTTAATTTAATAACAATTGAAAGAGAAAGATTAGTTTGGTCTACCTAATCATTTATCTTATTTTACCCAATAGATCCATTAACTATACGTGGTATGGTTGCCCACAAAATAATTAATTATGATTTTTTAAGAGTTATCAATTTCAAACATACAAATATAACGCAATAGGATAAATGCCAATCAAGAAAGGAAACGTGAAATTTTTATTAACCAAAAATATCCCAAGAGTTATATAAAGAATTTACCATATCTCTAGCTATAGATTTAGCCAGACATAATATAAAAAAAATAAAAATCAAAACACTATATTGGGCTTGTTATACATAAATGCTTTAATTTCATATTTTTGGCTATTTTGACCTGTCATACGGGGTTTTTATAATTCTTTTCTATATAGTAGTTGTGAGTTTAATTTCTTATGTGCGTGGAAATTTATTTGACATGTATTTTCTATAGGACTACATATTAGAATATGTGCAATAAAACGAGTATGAGAAGTAACATATTTTGATGCTTGAATTGTGTAATTGTTGCATAAAAAGTTAGTGCGTTAATTATACTAATTATTCAATTTAACTGAAATAATTAATACCATAGGTGTATAATTAATTATTACACATGAGTGTAACAAGATGAGAATAATATTCTAGCCATTTACTGTCAAAGAAACTAAATTAATAGTGAAGAAAATTCATATTTTATAGCTAAAATGGCATTTTGTAAATAAGGATGTAATCAGAGGGTAAGCTAGTCCTGTTAGCATTTAGTTGAGGGGCATTTTTGTCCATAATTAATTAGTTGTCCTATCTTATTTCAGCCAAGCTTTCTTCTTCTCATTAGAAACAAAATTTACTTAAAAGAGGGGGAGGAAAAGCCATTTTAGCACAAAAATTTCTAGTAGCCGTCCAGTGTAGTTTTTCTTCTTATTTTTAACTCCAAAACCTTGTTTTTCCTTCCCTAATCCAGCCACCTAAACAGCCACCTTCTTCCTCGATGGCTAGACCTTAAAAAAAAAAATTTGCCTTAAGTTCACTGAAATCCAGTTTGCTTCTCCTGTACGTGTGACAAAAAATTGTTGGGCAAGAATTCAAACTTCTCAAAGCCTTAAAGAAGGCTTCTTTTGTGGAGGTAAAACCCTAATTTTTTTAGCCCTAAAATTTAAGTTTTCTTGCAAGTTTGGCTGCTATATATGACTCTAGGTGCTAGAATTTTTATGTTAATTCTTTTTGTTAAATTTTCAGCTAAAAACTTTAAATTAAGTGGATAATTTGTGGGTAGTGAGGGCTGGAAGTTTGAGCTTAATTTATGTCTTGTATGAGTTAGAATTTGGTAGATTTTAGGAAGTGGTGGCTATCCAAGAATTTTGAAATTTATTGAAATTAGAGTGTAGTTGCCGTCTCCAGCTTTGGCCCTCAAATTTGTGCAAATGCGTGGTGATTTAGACCTTTTAAACGATCGATTTAGCTTTCTGTATCTTATGAAAGTTGTAGCTTTTGATGTTAGTTTCCTAATGGCTTTTGAACCACCTAAAAAGGAGTTATCAATTATGAGATATGTCTGTTTTAGTGAACAAAGGTCAAGTGTTAGGACTAGGAAAATATGTTGCGGTTTTTGACATTTTAAGCTAGAAAAAAGGTCCTTTTAGAATTTGTCTTCATAAGAATTGTAGTTCATTGTCTCAGCTTTCATATGACATAAAATGGGAATTGAAAGGATTAGTATGGCTCTTTAATAGTTATCGCGGGAAAATACTTATTTTGTATGGTTCTTAAAGTGTTAAAATTCAAAACATGTTTTATTTTCTTCCGTTTACTAGAAAATATTTCCTATGCTATTGAAAAGGAATTTTAGGGATAACTAAGGTTTACAATTTTAATGTTATAATTGTATGTTTAGGTGACATAGGAGTAGAAAAGAGTTTACAGGAATAATTTTGGACAACTGTAACTTTTTGGTGACTTTAATCCCATTGGAGTAATAAGGTAAGGGGAGCTTATATAAATTTCAATTTTGTTTCATATGTAAATGATTTACTTATATGGATATTATGTAATGAAAATATTGAGATTATCTAATATGTGAATAAATTCTGTGATATAATTCAAAGATATGTTATAAGTAGAATTCTCTCTTTTATGATTGATATTATAGCTGTTATAAAATTATATGTGCTGTGTGAGCTGAGAAAATGATAAATGTTGTGTACTCATCAATTGATTGTGAAATATAATTACTATACTGTCTACATTTATGAATATGGTTGTGCAATGTTGAAATATTAAATTGAAATATCATATAACTAAACCATAATTTTAGGTGATTAGGTGTGTGATGGTAGAAATCATTCTGTGTTGAGCTATATCTAGATCCAAGTACCGGGGTCAGTTCGCGCCCAAACCGAACACTATTTGTAAGTCCTTTTTGGTTGAACTGCTGGAACCAATTGGAACTGAGATGCTGAAATTAGATAGGCTGTTTAGGTTATATATATATATATATATATATATATATATATATAACCTAAACCCTAAACCCTAATATATATATATAGTATTTTAGATTGACTGAGATTGAGTAGAATTATTTGCTGCATTGTAGTTTGAACTATGCCTTATTATATTAATCATTAGGTGGTATTATTTACATAAGCTCACCCTTGCATTGTTGTCTATGTGATGTGGGTGTGCACTATGATGATTGTACGGGATACATGAGTAGATTTAACAGGTAATACGGACGCTTCTTAGTTCGTAGGTCCAACTATGCTTGAAGAAATGAAGTCATTATTTTAGAAAAATTGTAACTTTAATATTTTGTAGTCTGGTTTTGGTTTAACCTTGACTATTTAGCTACAAATTCAGTCTAGTTGTAAAGTATTTTGTTTTGTAATCTATTTTTGAGCACCTTCTTTCTATTAACCATACATTCCATATATCGAGCATAATAATTTACAAATTATTTATAAAATAATAATTACATCACCAAAATATTTACATTCCATACACAAATATAAGTTCCAAAGCAGTCTTTCCCAAAACCAACTACTGAAGACAGGTCCTATTCATCTCCAGCGTCCCAACTCTCTATCTCAGCTGAGTCTTCCAAATCCAGATCCTCATTTGATCTCAGGTAGTGATCGCCTGAATCAGCTCTCACCTCTGTGCCAGTAAGGTGGTCAGAGGTCCATCGAGATGGTCTTCCAAGAGAGTCATGGTCGTGGTAGGTAAATAGATACTTGAGAGTTGTCGGGGTTCTAATGGTACCTCTGTACATATATTCACAAAAAGTCTGGTGTATTCTACTCCTAGGAAAGTCAAAAGGGATACTATAAAAGAAATTCATTTCTATCATAACAAAAACTCTAGGTTCATCTTCTACAAGTACAACAAATTTAAAATAATTTACTCTGTGATACTCATTAAATACATAATTTAACCTAAAATGTACAAAACTATCTATTAATCTAATCCTTCCTTGAGGCTCCGTCATCTTGATTCCCTGAAATTATTAGTAAGGATGAGTGTCTATTCTATCTTTTTGCAAACATTATATCACAAAATCATAATTTATAGTACAATTGCAACATTTCCATATTTAGACTAATTTCACATAACAAACATTAAACACACATCATTCACAATTTATTTTCTATTATTTAATCTCTCATTCCAATAGGCACTCCCAATGCACTGTGATCACAAATATGGACGCCTTCAACATTTCTTGAGGTCTTACTCAACTAGGTAAATAGTCATCGGTTAGCCAATGCACATGGATACAACATGTACAATAATCAGGCCCCCTAGCAAAGGCATAGTCAAGAGTCTAGTCAAGAAACGAGTGTGAGGCCATGTGACGCATTCGCTCTCAAAATGAGTATATACACATATGCGAATGTCACTCACTACCCTATGTTTCCCCCTAGATTTTCATCGTCTCTGGACTCTATGCCTCCAGTGTATCTCTGTAACTATTCAAACTACAATCTATATACATCCAACTCTTAGGTCATTCTCAGAATTATTCTCTTTCTCATTCATAAGATCGTGCTTAGTAAAGCACTTCTAGACTAATTTCATTCCACTCATATCCTCGTGAATATAGATACCATTTCAAACTTAATCATTTCATTTCATTCATATAATCACATGATAATCATTCAGCAAATTCAATCATCGTCCATATTAAGTACTCATCATATAATACATATACACATTTCAACCACTTAATCCAAAAAAGCAAATAATCCAAACAATCAAACAAGCATCTTTTCACCCATTATTCATACAAAAGATATCTCAACAACATATTCTCATAAAATATTCATGTAACTGTGCTCGATAAGCACAAAATAAATATTGTACTATAATGATAAAATAAAGCTCTCCTTACCTCGAAGATGAGCCCACAGAGAGATATTAAAAAGGATTGAAGATCAACTATGAAAGTTCTCCTGAATACCAAGAGATATCCAGAAGAAACAAAAACAGGAAAACAATTGAAGAAACTCAAGTTTAATCTGAAGAAACTTACTTAGAGTTCGATTAGCTTCAATGTCCAAATTTGACTTTGAAGAGAAGCAAAGTTTCTGAGGCTTTTATCTAAGTAAAAAGAAGAGAGAGTTTAGCGAAAGCTTGAGAGAAGGACGTGAGTTTAAAATAGAATGAATTTCTGATGCGAAAATTTTCTTAAATACTCCTCATCCTCGTACGCTCTTGCTTGAGCGAGGAACAACTCGCTTGAGCGACGGCCTGTCGTCTGAGTGAGATATGCAGACAGTGGTCTCACACCTTCTTTCTGATAGGCTTGCTTGGGCGAGCTTGATAGCATGCTTTTTTTTTGTGGGTCCTCGCTTGAACAACCCATCTCGCCTGAGTGATATCACTCTCGTTTGGGCAAGGTGATAGTTGGGCAACATTTATCTTATATCGCTTGAGCGAGAATCATCTCGCTTGAACGAGAAGGCCCTGCAACAAAGTATTCTTGCATGTCAATCTCGCCTGAGCGAGATCTATTGCACTAAAATCATCTATACTTCCTTCTCAATGCACTCTAATGCCACTTAACATTAATCAAAATATAATTTACCAAAAAGTGAAAAGAGGATGTTACACTACTCTTAACCTTTTAGGAATTTCGCCCCTGAAATTCACTGATTTAAGAAAATATGAGGATATGCCTCCTTCATTTTGTCCTCAAACTCCCAAGTAGCATCTCCTTCATCATTCGCATTCCAGATTACTTTTACCAATGAGATATCGTTAGCCCTTAGCTACTTGACTCGATGATCAGTAATCTTCACAGGGATAACCTCATGACAAATTCTCTTGAACTTGGACAGGATCAGGTTCAATCACATAAGAAGGATCAGGAATGTATTTCCTTAATAAAGATACATGGAATACATGATGTAAATTGGACAGATTTGGGGGTAAGGAAATATGATAAGCCACAGGACCAACTCTACTCAGAACTTCGAATGGTACGATGAATTTAGGAAACAATTTTCGGGATTTCAGTGCCCTATCAACTTCAGTAATAGGTGAGACTCTAAAAAACACATGATCACCAACTTGAAATTCTAATGGCTTGCTTCGCTGATCATGATAATTCTTCTGTCTATCTTGAGCAACCTTTATCTTTTTTCTAATCATCTTCACTTGATCGTTCTATCTCTATACCACATCAGGCGCATACATAATTGTTTCTCCAGCTTCGCACTAGCATAAAGGAGTTTGACACCTCCTTCCATTAATGCTTCGTAGGGTGCCATTCCGATGCTTGCATGATAACTATTATTATACGTGAATTCTACCAAAGGTAGACTCTTATCCCACGATCCTTGTTGCTCCATCACGCAAGCTCGTAATAAATCTTTTAAGGTTTGAATAGTGAGCTCCGTCTGCCCATCAGTTTGAGGATGATATGATGAGCTAAGCTTCAATTTAGTCCCAAAGCTTCTTGGCAGATTTTCCCAGAATTTTGATGTAAACCTTGGGTCTCGATCTGATATGATGCTCAAGGATACTCCATGCAATTTGACTATCTCAGTAATGTATAGCTCCGCCAACTTCTCCAATTTATACTTCATATTGATTGGAATGAAATGTGTAGTCTTGGTTAGACGGTCTATAATCACCTATATAGCATTGTGATTCCTTTTTGTTTTTAGCAATCCAGACACGAAGTCCATAGAGATACTATCCCATTTCCATTCTGGAATCTCCAATGGTTGTAATTTTCCTGGTACCGTCTGATGTTCTGCCTTTAATTTCTGGCATGTTAAACACTTTGCAACATACTCAATAATCTCTTTCTTTATGCCATACCCCACCAGAAATTCCTTCACAAGTCATGATACATTTTTATTGCTCCAGGACAGAAACTCAGTTTATTCTTATGCGCCTCTTTCAATATCAATTGCTTCAATTCTTCATTTTGAGGAACGCACACTCTACCCTTAAATCTAATAAGTCCATTTAAGTCGCGATGAAACTCTGAGCCTTTAGTCTCATCATTTGACTGTACTCTATCTTGCAGATATTGATCTTCTAACTGAGCATTTTGGATTTGCATAAGGAAATCGTTATTGATCTTCAAAGTACCCAAGTATAAGCTTTTGGGTCGCACTTCTACCATCAAATTCAAATCTCTAAATTCTTCAATCAAATTCCACTCCTCTATCATCATGGCAGAAATGTGTAGGGATTTCCTGCTCAGTGCGTCTGCTACAATATTCACCTTCTCGAATGGTAAGATAAGGTGAAGTCATAATCCTTGAGAAACTCCATCCATCATCTCTGCCTCATGTTCAGCTCTTTCTGGTCTAATAGATATTTCAGACTTTTGTGATCGCTAAATACTTCGAATCTCGATCCGAATAGATAATGCCTCCAGATTCTTAATGCAAATACCACTGTCGCTAACTCTAGATCATGTGTGGGGTAATTAACTTTATGAGGTTGGAGTTGTCTTGAAGCATATGCAACTAATCTTCCGAATTGCATTAACACACACAAGTCCTTGTCCCAAAGCATCACAATACACTTTGAACTTTTGCTCCGGGTATGGCAAAATCAACACTGGAGCTGAGGTTAGCTTTTTCTTCAAGTTTTGGAAACTAACTTCATATTCCACTTTCCACTCAAAGTTTTTTCCTTTTTTCGTCAATTTCATTAAGGGCAATGCTATTTTAGAAAATCCCTCAATAAATTTTCTATAATAACCAGCCAATCCAAGGAAACTTTTAATCTCAATTAGAGTTGTAAGTCTTGACTATTGAGCTACTGCTTCTACTTTTGCTGGGTCGACCGTAATTCCTTCCTTTGAGACAACATGTCCCAAAAACTGGATTTGTGGAAGCCAGAATTCACACTTTGACAACTTTGCATAAAGCTTTTCGCTTAATATTTGTAAAACAATTCTTAAGTATTCAGCGTGCTCCTCATGATTCTTGGAATAGATCAAAATATTGTCAATAAACACTACCACAAATTGATCCAAGAATTCATGAAAAATGCTATTCATGTAGTCCATGAACACTACTGGGACATTTGTCACACTAAATGGCATCACCAAATATTTGTAATGACCATAACGGGTCCTAAAGGCTGTCTTGGGGATATCTTCCTTCTTCACTCGGATCTGATGATAGCCTGATCGCAAATCAAACTTTGAGAACACTGAATCTCCTCGTAGTTGATCCATCAGATCATCAATCTGAGGAATAGAGTACTTATTCTTAATTGTGACCTTATTCAACTAGCGATAATCAACTCACATTCTCATGCTCCCATCCTTCTTTTTCACCAAAAGTATCGGAGCTCCCCATGGCGACACACTCAGCCTAACAAATTGCCTTTGCAACAAATCTTGCACTTGCTTTTTCACCTCCGCTAATTCCACTAGGACATCCAATATGGTGCGATAGATACTGGGCTTGCTCCGGAAATCAAATCAATAGAGAATTCAATTTCTCTTTTCAATGACAATTCGGTTATATCTTCCGGAAAAACTTCCAGAAAACCTTGTATAATTGGAATATGATCGACTTTCACTGCCTTATCAATCTCAGCAGAAAACAACACCATAAAAGCCTTAGCTTCACCCATATTTAAGAGTCAAGGATTTCCCAGTGAATCATCACAGAACAGCCTAACCACATAGAAGAAGTTACAACAGGCTTAGCTAAAGGAGTAGACACAAGAACATCACATGGTAGAGAACATATTGGCAGTCTAACACAATTTACACAATCCAGAGAAATAAAGGAATGTGTGGCACCAGAATCAAACAAGACATCATAGAGTCTATCATTGATGATACATTTACATCTAATTACTTCATCTGACTTGGATGCCTCAAACCCACTCATGGCAAAAACTTTGCCCTGTAAACTTGGCTTCGTTGAGGAATTGACCAACAACTATTAGCAGAATGCTCTGTCTTCCCACAAATACTGCAAGCCGATGGTGGTTGTGAGCAATTCCTCACCAGATGAGGTCCCCCACATCTAAAGCATCTTAGTGGTCCTCTTGAGAAATTGGAACTACTACTACCTCCACCTCAGAATTGAGACTGACTGTTGTTACAGTTCTAAACACTAGCAAGTGCATTAGGAATTGCAGCAAGTAATGAGTAATTTTAAGATCAGAGTATCGTCTCCACAGGAAATTAGGAATTCAATTACCACTTCACAAAGCAAGAACTATTTGAGTCATACAAATTTGGAAGAGTAGTAACATGTAAAAGAAATAACCAAAACAATACAGAGTATTAAACTTGCAGTAAAATAGAGAATGAAAGTTGTGTTGAGATGAGATATGAATGAAAGATAGTTAGGAATTTATTTCACAATATCAATATTAATTCAATTAAACCCTTTGAACATTCAAGCAATTGGTTAATTGACAATTAGTTTCACATATAACTAGTCAAAGGTTAATCCCTTAACTCATTGACCCTAACGATCAACCAAACCCCCCTAATCCCTTAGGTGAGATTCAATTTCAAGTTGCATTAAGAATTAGAACCATAAGATTGCAGAATTAAGTTCCCTTATCCCTAAAAAATCCCGAACACCAGTTGCTAATTCAGATCAGAGAAACAGATCCAATTCCCATTGGTAAAGGTTCCTCTTTGGTTAATCAAGTGAATTCCCATTCAAAGATTACGTGAACAGCAGAATTAACAACTCAATTAATCTAAGAACTCAAAGTTCAGAAGAAAAAGTCGAATCAATACATCAATTCAAGATCCATAAACTGCTAACTACGAAGAATTAAGCAAACATTGCAACTGATGAATCCATATTTTTACTGATATTTTAGCATAATTCTAGCTCATTTAATAAGAAAAATATATGAAGAAAGTAGAAAAACTCAGAAAAAGAGAATGATTGAAAGTTTTATTTCAATTTGTAGTTATTTTCGCATTTGTAGAATTTATGCTTAGTTCTTAAGGAATTTATCTTGTTTTTGAAGGAATAATCTGAGCAAAAGTCATGGAAATGGATTATCAATGGAAAGGAAGAGGAAGAATGGCAATGTTGGACTCCAAAATACAAGAATTATGGGATGCAGGCTGGGCGTGATCACTATTGTTAGTGAAAGTGATCATTCCAGAGCCTAAATGAGAAGAGGAGCCTGTGCGTAATCACTTTTATTTACAAGAGTGAGCGTTGCCAGTGTGCGTTATCACTTTCGCCAACGAAAGTGAACGTTCCAGAGAGACTTCATTCCTGATGAGCTGCGTGTTGTCACTTTCACCAACGAAAGTGAGCGTTCCAGAGGCACTTGTATCAGGACAGCTTGCGCGTGGTTACTATTACTCACGAAAGTGATCACGCGCAGCCCTCGACCTCCTGCGTTGCCACTCTTATGAATTAAAGTGAATGTTCCAGAGAAGCCTTCAACTCTGCAAGTTGCGCGTGGTTACTCTTGCTCTTGAAAGTGAACACGCGCACTACATAAAGCTTCTGCGTGGTTACTCTTGTGAAAAAAAGTGACAACGCGCAGAACTGGGGTTTCTATAAATACATGATTGAAGCGCGAAACTATGGGTCTTTTGCTCATTTTCTGTTTTGTTAGTTAGATTCTCGTTGAGAGAGAGTGGAGAGAAGATTGGGGTCGAAGCTTGAAGCTCCAAGAAGAGGGATCGGATTGGAGCTCGTGGCCATGGCTGCTCTGCATTCTTCTTCATCTTCTTCTTCTTCTTTCTCTGTTTTTGTTGCAATGTGTGCTTAATTTCCCATAGTTAGGGGTTTATGGAACTCGAATTGATGTATTGATTCGACTTTATCTTCTGAACTTTAAGTTCTTGGATTAATTGAGTTGTTAATTCTGCTTTTCATGCAATCTTTGAATGGAAATTCATTTGATTAATCAAGAGGAATCTTTACCAATGGGAATTGGATTGTTTGCTCCGATCTGAATTGGCAACCAGAGTTTAGGGATTTCTTAGGGATAAGGAGACCTAATTCTGCAATCTTATAGTTCTAATTCTTAATGCAACCTGAAATTGAATCTCATCTAAGGGATTAGGGAGGTTTAGTGGATTGTTAGGGTCAATGAGTTAAGGAATTAACCTATGGCTAGGTATATGTGAAACTGATTGTCAATTATTCAATTGCTTGAATGTTCAGAGGATTTAATTGGATTGATATTGATATTCTTGTGAAGTAAATTCCTAACTATCCTTCATTGCTATTTCATTTCATCACAAATCTTATACTCTGTTTTTCTGCAAGTTCTTTACTTTTGATTGCTCTGATTATTGCTTTTATATGATACAACTCTCTTCCCAAATTCGTATGGCTCAAATGGTTATTTTTCTGTGAAGTGATAATTGAGTTCCTAATTCCCTGTGGAGACGATACTCGAATCTTAAATTTACTCATTACTTGCTGCAATCCTAGTGCACTTGCTAGTGTTTAGATTGCAAACAACAGATCCAATTCCCATTGGTAAAGGTTCCTCTTTGGTTAATCAAGTGAATTCCTATTCAAAGATTACGTGAACAGCAGAATTAACAGCTCAATTAATCCAAGAACTCAAAGTTCAGAAGAAAAAGTCGAATCAATACATCAATTCAACATCCATAAACTGCTAACTACGAAGAATTAAGCAAACATTGCAACAAAGAAAGAGAAAGAAGAAGAAGAAGGACAAGAACGCAGAAGATCCATCTTCAAAAATCCCCAATCCAATCCCTCTTCTTGGAGCTTGATGTTCGTCCCTAATCCTCTCTCTGACTCTCTCTCAACGAAGAAATGAAGTGAAAAACACAAAATGAGCAAAAAGACCCCGAGATTTGAGCTTTTTCTGGTATTTATAGAATTCCTAACTCTGGGTGTTATCACTTTGCTTCGTAAGAGTGGCCACGCGCAGAAGCTCATGTAGTTTCTGGAAACTAGAACTATCACTCTCGCTGATAAGAGTAGCAACGCAGAAGGTCGAGTGGTTGCGCGTGATCACTTTCGAGAGCACAACTTGCCTTGATACACTCGTCTCTGGAACATCCACTTTCGCCAGCAAGAGTAGTTACACGCTTCTCGCTAAAATTAAGTCTTCTTTGGAACACTCACTTTCACTGGTAAGAGTGGTAACGCAGAGCTCGCTATGTCTGAGACTTCTAAGAGACTCTCTAGAACATCTACTTTCACTGGTAAAAGTGGTTACGCAGAGCTTTGCTGAATTTTAGTCTTCTCTAGAACACTCACTTTTGCCAGCGAGAGTGTTAACGCCCAGTGTGTATTCCTCTTTGATGCCTGGAGTGATCACTTTCACTAACAATAGTGATCACGCCCAGCTTGCATTCCATAATTTTTGTGCTTTGAGTCCAGAATTGCTACTCTTCTTCTTCCTTTCCATTGATTTTCCATCTCCATGAACCTTACTCAGATTATTCCTACAAAAACAAGATTAAATTTTTAATTTCTAAGCAAAAATCTCACAAATGCTAAAATAACTACATATTAAAAGAAAACCTTCAACCATTCTATTTTTCTGAGTTTTTCTACTTTTTCTAACATATTTTCCTTATCAAATGGGTTAGAATTACACCAAAATATTAGTAAAAATATGGATTCATCACTACCCCAAACTTGAATTTTTGCTTGTCCTCAAGCAAACCAAACTAAACAAGGATAGTTCCTCCATTTTTCAAAATCAATTCACACACTGCTTATTTCAAAATTTTCAATTTCCAATACTGTGTTTTCTGCAAAAAAAAAATTTCAAGTTGTTCGTCCAACTACTCTTCATGATATTCATACTGCATAATCATCATTGAGTAAGAATTGCTATCTAAGTTCATATATTTCATCAAAATTCATATGAGCACAATTAATAAACATGATCATGGCTCACTTGGAAGTGTTTCCCTCATCATTCAACAATATTTAAGTACCGTTTTCTCTCTAAATCATCAATTTAACTACACTCTACCATATGTTTGCCCATATTCTCAATTTCCTCTGCTTAATACAGTCAATCACACATCCAGAGGACTTTTTGCAAGTTATAACAGGGCTAAGGTCAATGTAGGTATTGAACAAAATGGAAAACAATTCATGCATTTTCAAAAGATCAGAGACATTTTGAGTGAATGACTTTAAAACTAACATGGATTTGCATTATTTCTTCATAATTCCCTCAATTATGCAACATATAATTTCACTCATGCAGCAACATTCTAAATTTTTCTTTTCTCAAACTTTTTGCTTTCATATACTATTTTCTTTTCATTCCTTTTTCTGCAGTACTTTGCTGCATATTCTTCTTTTGAACTCACATTTTTCTATTTTCACCATCTTTGCTGCATGTTTTTCATTTTTCTATAGATTTTTGTTATTTCTTTCTGTCTTTGTGAACTCAAAACTTAGATAGTTTGCTATTTCCCACCCCAAACTTAGAACTTTGCTTGTCCTCAAGCAAATAAACTGTGGATGCCACCCCAAACTTAGTTTTAAACTCATTCTTGATTAGACTCAATATGCCTCTTTTCATTTGAATGGTAAAATTGGTTTTTCAGCAAGGCCTATAATGAGGTAAATTCAAGAAACGACTATTAAGCTCAAAGGGGTGAACTAAGATATTCAAGCACAAAGGAAGGTTCATTTAGGCTAACTGGGCATAATCAATTGTATGTGAGTGTCAGCATCCATTGTGTGTGAGTGATGTGTGATTGTGACATTTTCTGCATAAAACACCAAAATTCCATCAATCATAAAAAAAATAAGGTAATTCAAATTGCAGAATTATAAAACTTAACAGAAACTAAACTTCATTACAACTGAAAAGTATTAAAATTGTTCTGAACAACTACTGCATTTACAGAAACAAAAACTCCTAATTGTTAAAATTTACATAAACTGAAATTAAAAACAAACAGAATTAAAAATCCTAATCTATTCTTCTGCTTCATCCTCATCCTCGGAGGTTTCTTCTTCTTTATCATCTTCCTCCTCTTCTTCATCTTCTTCCTCCTCCACCACTTCTTAGTTGGCTGTGGGAAGTGAGTTTTGTATATTGGTAAATCCTTAAAAACTGAAGAGCAAAGGCACTGGGCATTCTCTGCCAAATCAGGAGTATGGTACATTTCCTCCTTAGTCATTCCCAATTTTTGACCAAGATTCAGCAATACACACTCCAGTAGCATTATGCCAGATTTGACACTATTGTACAGCTCAGTTTGCCTTTCTACTAGCTGGTTCTGTCTCTCAGCCATCAACTTTAAGGAGTCCTTCATTATCATTGATTTTTCCTTTCTGTATTGAGAAGGAATGAGGGATGCTGAGGTGCAAGATGTGGTAGCATATATTTCTTTCACTATGGACACAGAGATGGGAGGCACAGATCTAATCCTTTCTTGATAGTCTCCAAACTCCACCCCTGCATCTTCACAAAGTAGTGTGATTACTGATGGAAAGGCTAGTGAATCCTCTTGGTCTTCAGGATGTTGATGATGCATTCACTGATGATTTTCCCTACATCTATATACATGTCTGTGACTATGGCGAAAAGTAGCTCAGCCCTTTTCATTGCCAATGTTGAGTTGTGCTTTACTGGCATGAAAGAATTCAGTATAAACATGCTCCACACTTTGGCGAAAGGTAACAAATTCTTAGTGATTATGCATTTTGGCTTCTTGGCCTGGTTCAACTTCTAAGTTGTTCCTGGCCTTCCAATCTTCTCCAAGATCTGCACATATAGTCAATGTCAGGACTATTCTTGAATGCACTAAATTCCAGCTGTGCATGTTGCTTTACAAAATTGATGTTTAGCACCCTGTTGATATTGGCAGGTGTGAAGTCTACCCTCATTCCCTTTACCATTGTGTTGAACTTAGGGAATTGGTCTCCTTTGAACCTCACAGCATTGGCATAAAACTCCTGAGTTATTTCTCTCCATAGGCAATTTCAAAAGCTTTATCAGGGACAATCTTCCTCCTCAAAATATTAGCTCTGAAAAAGTTTTTATGAGCAATACTTCTGAACCTTGGATCACACACTTCAATTGGTGAGGAAGCTGAGGCACCATCTGTTCTGGCCTTCTTTGATTTGGGAGTGTTCTTGGAAGATCCAATTTGAGTGTTTCTGGAAGATCTCCTTGGAGTGTTGTTGGAAGACCCAGCTTGATTTTTCCTGGAAGATCCAACTGGTGTATTCATGGAAGTTCTAGCTATTTTCAGTGTTTTGCAATAAAAAAGCAATCTGACAGTTAAATTTTTCAATACATAGATGCTTAATTACTTATACACAACACTGAGCAATCAAACTAATTTGTAGGTTCAGAATGCATGTAATATCAGAATATCTCAGGGTAATGCAGAAGGATAATTTCATCAAGATTTTGTTCTTTCAGTAAAAGTCTGTTTTAGCATTACAGGGTATATCCATAGGCAAATATAAAAGCACAATTGCACAGAATTGAACAATCACCTTCAGAGAATTTTTAATTTGATATCCTTACTTTGTAATTTCAGAGTGCACACTCTCAAAAACATATCAGGTTAACGCAGATAGATCATCACAGGTCTTAACCACTCTTTCAAACATGATACCGCACTCACCCATTGTTAGTAAAACTAGTTTCAAAAAAAATGAGCAGAACTATTGTCATGTAATTGTTTTCACACAATTAATTTTGGTACAGGTTATTAACAATTTACAAACAATTACATTCACAGATTTTTAATGCAACTATTTTTTTTTTCAGTGAAGTCTCGTTAGGTCAACATCTTTTCTGCAGAATTTTATTCAGAGTAATGGCACAATGCAGATTCGAATCTTCCTAAAAATATCATGAATAACAGGAAAACCTATTCAGAGTATTATCCTCTCTATTGGTGAATAAAATAAAATCAAAACAATGCCCCCTTATCCCTATCCGACATTTTCCCAAACATTTAACGTAGAAAAACCCTAATCCATCGTTTCAAAGAGAGGAGGGCAGCGTACCTGGCAAGAGGATGCAAAAATGTGTGAGAAATGTACTTGCTGTTGTTGGTTGACGCACACAAGGAGTGAAATTGTAGAGAATGCTTAGAGGAAAGGAGAATTTTTAGGTGCAAAGGTGTGTGCGTGTTCACTTTAGGGAATATTTATAGCCATGCGTGAGCACGTGACCACTTTCAAAGTGAAACGTGAACGTTACAGTATTTAAGACGTTCAGCGTGGTTATTATTTCTAATCAGAGTGAGTGTTCTAGAGAGTTAGATATTTCTGGGTAAGGAGCACGTTATCACTGTTGTTAGGCAAAGTGATAACGCGCAAGCTACGCACACAAAATTTTTCAAATTTACCTGTGCGTGATTACTCTGTTCAGGGAAACTGAGCGTTCTAAAGGGAAGTGTTTCCTTCAGACACTAGCGTGATCACTCTTATAAGTAAGAGTGGATGGTCCAGAGGAGTGTTCTTCTGCGTGAACCTCTGCGTGATCACTTTTATCAGCAAAAGTGATTGTTCTAGAGGGGAACATCAAAATACAGCCTCTGCGTGACTCCTTTCCTGCAAAATAGTGACTCCTTTCATTAATCAAACTTCTCTAAAACTTCAATTAGCTTACTTTTCACACTCTAATCCTTTCAATTCACTCTCACAACATCAAACCTCTAATCCCTTATCAAATTCACATCAGAAAACCAGATGCAACAGAATTCTAATTGCAAAAATTGCAAAAATTGTAAAACATGAATATGCACAATTCTAAAACAATACAGAAAGCTTAAAATGAGTTAGCAATGTGAGTTGCCTCTCACAAAGCGCTCTTTTAACGTCACTACCTTGACGTTAAATGTTCCTCACTCAAGGGGAACCAGTTTGACATAGGAGATATTCCTTGCAAATTCTTCTCCATGATAGGCCTTCAATCATTGGCCATTGACCTTGAATTCTCTTCCTGTCTTTTGATCCTTAATCAGAATTGCTCCAAAGGGAGATATTTCTTTGATCATAAAAGGTCCAGACCATCTTGATCTAAGTTTCCCTGGAAATAATTTTAATCTAGAATTAAACAACAGTACTTGCTATCAAGGTTTGAATTCTCTTTGCAAGATGAATTTGTCATGAATTCTCTTGGTTCTTTCTTTGTACAACTTTGCATTCTCATAGGCTTGATGTCGATAAACTCCTCTAATTCATGTAATTGCAGAATTCTCTTCTTTCCAGCACTGGGTAAATCAAAGTTTAGCCATTTAGTAGTCCAATAAGCTTTATGCTCCAACTCCAAAGGTAAGTGACATGTCTTTCCAAAAACTAATTGGTAAGGTGACATACCAATTGAGGTTTTAAAGGCAGTTCTATATGCCCATAGAGAGTCATCTAGTTTCTTTGACCAGTCTTTTCTTGAACTACTCGCTACTTTCTCTAAAATCTGCTTGATTTCTCTGTTTGACACTTCAACTTGTCCATTTGTTTGTGGATGGTATGGAGTAGCAACCTTGTGCTTCACACCATACTTCATTAATACTGCTTCAAGATATTTGTTGCAAAAATGAGCACCTCCATCACTTATCAGAAATCTGGGTACTCCAAACCTTGCAAAAATGTTCTTTCTGGATATCACTACTTTGGCATTATTTGATCTTGTGGGAATGGCTTCCACCATTTGGAAACATAATCCACTGCCACTAAGACGTATTCATGAGAAAATGATGGGGGAAAAGGTCCCATGAAGTCAATCCCCCATACATCAAATAACTCCACTTGTAAAATGTTTGTCAATGGCAGCTCATGCCTTCTAGAGATGTTGCCTATTCTTTGACATTTATCGCAGCTTTCAACATTCTTCTTAGCATCCTTGAAGAGTGTAGGCCAAAAGAAAACTGCTTGTAAGACTTTTGCAGCAGTCCTTGAACTTGCATGATGGCCTCCATATTCTGAGTTGTGGCAATGCCATAATATTTCAGATTGCTCACTTTCTAGAATGCACCTCCTAATTAGACCATCCACCCCAATTCTAAACAAGTATGGGTCTTCCCACACATAGAATCTACTGTTATGTAAGAACTTCTTCTTTTGCTACCAAGTGAACCTCTTTGGAATGAATTGAATAGCCCTAAAGTTTGCAATGTCAGCAAACCAAGGTATCTCTTTTACTGCAAAAAGCCTTTCATCTGGAAATTCTTCATTAATTTCCAAGGAGTTAGGGGTTAGACTTTCAAGTGGAAGTCTAGACAGGTGATCAGCTACCCCGTTTTCCTTTCCTTTTTTGTCTCTAATTTCTAGCTCAAATTCTTGTAGCAGTAAAATCCATCTCAACAACCTTGGCTTAGCATCCTGCTTTGACAACAAGTATTTAAGCGCAGCATGGTCAGTATACACAATAACTTTTGATCCCATCAAATATGATCTGAATTTGTCAAAGGCAAACACAATAGCAAGGAGTTCTTTTTCCGTGGTTACGTAATTCACTTGTGCAGGATTTAAAACTTTGCTAGAATAATATATGACATGCAATTTTCTATCCTTTTTCTGTCCTAAAATAGCTCCTACTGCATTATCACTTCATCACACATTAATTCAAAAGGCAAATTTCAATCAGGTTTTACAAGAATAGATGCAGAAATCAGTTTTTCTTTCAAAACAGAAAATGCATGCAAACAAGCATCATCAAATATAAAATCAGCATCTTTCACAAGTATATCACTAAGAGGTTTTGCAATTTTAGAAAAGTCTTTGATAAACCTCCTATAAAAACCAGCATGTCCTAAAAAACTCCTAACTCCCTTGACATTAATTGGTGGAGGCAGTTTACTAATAACTTCAACTTTTGCTTGGTCCACCTCCATTCCTTTTTCTGAAATTTTATAGCCAAGGATAATGCCCTATTGGACCATGAAATGGCACTTTTCCCAATTTAATACAAGATTAGTATCTTAACGTCTCTGCAAAACAGTGGATAGATTAGCTAAGCAATCATCAAATGAATTACCAAAAATAGAGAAGTCATCCATAAACACTTCAATGATGTTTTCTACCAAATCAGAAAAAATGGAAAGCATGTACCTTTGAAAGGTGGCAGGAGCATTGCATAGTCCAAATGGCATTCTTCTGTATGCAAAGACCCCAAATAGACATGTGAAAGCAGTCTTTTCATAGTCCATAGGATCCACTGCTATTTGGTTGTATCTTGAATACCCATCAAGAAAATAGTAGAAGGAATGTGCAACAAGTCTTTCCAGCATTTGGTCAGTAAATGGTAGTGGGAAATAGTCTTTTCTAGTTGCATCATTTAACTTTCTATAGACAATACACATGCGCCAGCTAGTGACAGTCCTAGTAGGTATGAGCTCATTCTTCTTATTAGTTACAACTGTCATCCCTCCTTTCTTAGGGACAACTTGGACTGGACTCACCCATTGGCTGTCAGAAATTGGATAGATGATCCCTGCATCTAACAACTTCATGACTTCTTTCTTGACTACCTCTTTCACGGCTAGGTTCAACCTTCTTTGTGGCTGCACAACTAGCTTAAATTTCTCATCAAATAAAATTCTATGTTTACAAAAAGAAGGATTTATACCTTTCAGGTATAAAATACTCCAGCCTATTGCTGATTTATGTTTTCTCAGAATTCTCAGTAATGATGAATCCATATTTTACTAGTATTTTACAATAGTTTTTAGTGCAATTAATAAAGAAAACATGCTAGAAATAGTAGAAAAGCCTTAAAAAAAATAATAAAATGTTGCATGTCACTTTTAAACAAAGTTATTTTAAAATTCATTGATTTTCTATGTAAAAAGTGACAATTCAAGTATACTTTTGTAGGGAATTCTGAGCTAAGTTCATGAGGATTGGATGATCAAAGGAAAAATAGAAGAAAAGTAGCAAAAATTGGAGGAAAGAAGTTGATAATTGAAGAATAGCCTCTGAGTGATCACTTTCACTGGTGAAAGTGATCACTCCAGAACCATAAAATGAAGAAGAGCTTCTGCGTAATCACTTTTTCTGAAAAAAGTGAGCGTTCCAGAGAGTCCTCCAAGAGGAATTGCTGCGCGTGTTCACTATTATCCACAAAAGTGAACATGCACAAGAAGGTAGCCTCTGCGTGTTCACTATTTCTAGCAGAAGTGAACACGCGCATGATATTAGTAAGGGAAGCTTCTGCGTGGCTACTATTTTCAACAAAAGTGAACGCTTTGAAGTGTGCGTGGCTACTATTACCAGCAAAAGTGAACACGTGCAAGTGGAAATGAAGAATTAGCCTCTGCATGATTACTATTGCTAGCAAAAGTAATCACGCCAGCAGAGCGGGAATTCTATAAAAGACAGTTAGCTCAGAAATTTTGGAGTTTTTTGTTCATTTTTCATTTTCCATTTGTTTTTGTTGTTGAGAGAGTCAGAGAGGGAGATTGAGGACGAACACCAAGCTTCATTTCTTGAGGGATCAGATTGGAGATTGGCTTGAAGATGTTTCTTCTTTGTTCATTCTCTTCTTCTCTTCTCTTCTCTTCTTTTCTCTTCTCTTTTTGTAATGTTTGCTTAAACTCTTTGTAGTTAGGAATTGTGAATCTGAAATAGAAATGTTGAATTGATTTTGGATCTGAACTTTGAGTTTTGGATTGGATTGAGTGATTGATTATGCTATTAAAGTAGTGATTGAATGGAAATTTGATCAACTAATCATAGAGGAACTCTTATCAATGGGAATTGAATTTGTTTCTCAGATCTGAATTAATTGCCAAGGTTATTGGTTTCTAAGGGATAAGATATCTTAATCTTGCAATCTTTTGGTTTCTCAAACTTAATGCAGCATTTGATTGGATTAGATCTAAGGGATTAGAGTGATTTGATTAGATGCTAGATTCATTGAGGCAAGGGATTGTCCTTTGATTAATATAACGTGAAACTGATTGTCATTCCATCTAAATGCTTGAAAGTTCAGAACTTTATTGATTCAATGTTGAAGTTTTGGTGAAACAATTTCCTAACTACTCTTTCTACATCTGTTTACTATACACTTTTGTACTAACTGTTTTGTTTTACTTTCTAATTTCGTTTTTGATACATTCATACCAAATCCATCTGAAATTTGTAAAGCTCAACTAATTGTGATCTTGTGAAGTGGTAATTGAGAACTTTATTCCCTGAGGACGTTACTTGGAACTCAATTTGATTCTAGGATTTTTTATAACTTGCTACAACAACACTAGTACAATTGGTAGTCAGTTTACTTTCAGTGCAACAACAGTTGTGAAAGTAACAAGCAACTTTTCCTTTTCTTCCTCCTTGAGATCATTGTTGATGATGACTGGATTTTTGTGACTCTCATCCAAGAAAGCATATCTCAAGTGAGAGAGTAGTTGCTTGAGCTCTAGCTTCTGATTTTGATCTTCTTTCATTTCTTTCTTCAGCTCTTCTTTGACTAAATTTTCTGCAGGTGTTAGAATTGGTAGAGCGTCTAATTGTTGCTCAATTTCTATCATTTGTTTTGCTCTACAAATCTCAGAATTGGTATTTCCTACAACTATGGTTTCTCTCAACACAGAATTTTCATCAAGTTCATTAATAGGATAATGTGTAACAAGAGAATCTAATATATCTACTCTCATGCATGAATTATCTTCAGCCAGATATTTCAATGCTTCAAAAATGTTAAACACTACCTTTTCATCTTGAACTCTAAGCATGAGCTCTCCTTTTTGTACATCTATTAGAGCTTTCCCTATTGCAAGGAATGGTCTTCCTAGGATCAAAGGTATATTAGCATCCACCTCCATGTCCAAGATGACAAAATCTGCAAGGAAAATGAACTTATCAACTTTAACCAATAAATTTTCAACTACTCCATAAGGATAAGTGTAGAATCTATCAGCTAGCTGTAGTGTGATATTGGTAGGTTTCACTTCTTCTATCCCTAATTTCTTCATGATAGTCAATGGCATTAGGTTAATGCTGGATCCTAAATCACACAATGCTCTTCCCACAGTGCAATGTCCTATTTCACATGGAATGCTGAATGATCCTGGGTCCTTCAGTTTTTGGGGAAGCTTTCTCTTGAGAATGGCACTGCATTCCTCTGTCAAGGGTACTGTCTTGTCATGCTCTAGCTTCCTTTTTCTGGAAAGTAGTTCTTTCATAAACTTTGCATATGATGGCATCTGCTCCAAGGCCTCTGCAAAAGGAATGTTAATCTGTAATTTCTTAAAAACATTCAAAAACCATTTAAATTGTTCCTCCTGTTTAGGATTTTGGACCCTTTGAGGATAAGGCAGCTTCTTGTATTTTTCTGGATCTATTAACTTGCAAGCATCTTCAAAGAGTTGCTTCTTTGTCTTCCTCTCAAAATTTGTAGAAGCTTCTAGTTTTTCTTCTGAATGCTCTTTCTGTAATAATCTGAAATTTCCTTGTTGCAGATCTTGTTCAATTCTTCTTTCTTCAACTGCATCACTTGCTTTCTTTTATGTAGCTTTTAGACTTGCAACTATAGCTCCACTCCTTGTAGTGATGGCTTGACAT